TTCTTCTTCTTCTTCTTCTTCTTCTTCTTCTTCTTCTTCTTCTTCTTCTTCTTCTTCTTCACGATAACGTAAACACGCACCTTACTACTGTCGTCCCATTCCGTCGTCATCCCGAACAAGAACGATAAGAATTTTACACTCCTATCAACCGGTTCATTACGCTTTGCCCCAAAAATAATCGATTTATCGCTGTTAATCGTAAAGTTCAAGGTTTCGAGGTTGGAAACAGAAACGATAGCTTATTTTTTCCGATACTTCTTCTCTCTCTCTCTCTCTCTCTCTCGCTCGCTCCGCACATTCCCACAATACCCTCGATGCGAATCTATAATCGATAATCCACATCGCACACAGGCACATACCTACCTAGTATACCTAGCTAGGCATGCTAACACGTAGATACACTAACACGATTAGCAACAAGTTTTATGGCAGTTGGAACGGAGCATAAATCGTACGAATCGATTTTCACCGGCAACTCGACCGCGAAACGATTAAACGAAGATTCGATTACGATTACGGTTTCCCGTNAAAAAAAAAAGAGTTTTAATCGAGTTTTGCCGGAATATTGATACCGGCCAGAAATGTTACGCGTGTCTCGAGATAAATAGCTCGACCTTCAAAAAACTTTGACGTGCATCGGATGACCGCTCCTCCTTACACGTGTACATCTGTACACGTAATTGTACACTTCGCTTCAAGTATTTACATACATATATATATATATATATATATATATAATCTTATTATCTTATTAAAAAAAGAAGATTCGTTCTCTCAGAGAGAGAAGATTCATAGGATAAGTTTTTTTTTTTCGTCGTCTCACTTTGCAACAAAATCTTCGCAGAATTGTATTGAATTTAAATGAATCCAGTGTCTGTTGAGATTACATTTTTTCTGAAGTTGAAATAGAAGAAAGAAGGAGAAGGAGGGAAGAGGAAGAGAAAAAGAAAAAAAAAGATAATATTTTATATAATCTTGTTTCGAAACGAGCTTCGAAACCAATATCCATCATCGATCCAACTCCCTTGTATGCTCGAAGATCCAACGATTCGTTTGATTTCATCAGACTAGATTTTATCTAGAATCGGTGAATTAAAACACCGATACGAGTTTTAGATACGAGAAGGAGAGGGAACAGGTGAAAAGGGGAGAACTAGTACGCCACTATATACTACTACTACCACTACCACTACTACTATAGCATTGTTACACGGCTGTGAACACGCGTGCACGCGAACGTGATCGATTCTTCGAATGTGTGCACGCATACGCGAGAAACAACGTAATCGTAATCAAGCCTGCAATTTCTGATTGTTTACATGCGAGGGCATTGCCCGGATGCCGTTTACCTTACGTACATTCCAGGTGTGTTACCACTCCCTCCTTTGCCACCTCGCGATTCCAACCTCCTACCGCTGCTTCCAAGGAACCCACAACGTGTACAACACGAACGTGTAGTACACGATCCATTCGCATTCGCGCACTCCCGCTTACGGGCGAGCGAGCCGCGAGAGGCGTATTAGCAATCGAGGCGATTAATTAATCCTCTAACCACCTCCGCTTCGAATCCTTCAAGCCGAAGCAAATCTTGTTAATTGTTTAGGGGGAGGGGGGAGGGGTATCATCGTCGTCGATCGAATTCGCATCCAATTTGCGCCAATTTGAATACGCCATCTATAATATACGAATACGAGTACGATACATTTCTTTCCACGCGTCACGTGCTCGTTCCCTCGACGTTCCAATTCGATTCCTCTTTCGTCGCGTTCACGATTTCTCTTTGCCTTTCGTACGAACACCACGAAATCGAGCTTATTACCCATTAGAAATTCCAACGACGGATATTATCGTTGCTCGGCCGAGTTGAAGAAAAATTCGATGCCGCAAATTCGATGGCGTATTTTTTAATATCTTGAGAATATCAAACGAAAGAGAGATTCGTCGGATTTTTATAGGTTCGATTATTCTATAGTTTAAAGTTATCGTATCCAT